AAAGAGGGTGCTGTTGCCATGGTGACAGCTGTCCAGCATAAACATCTCACATGTCTTCCATTTATCATGTGTTTTAGGGCAATTCAAGCTGCTGGAACAAGACCGTGATATAAAGGAGCCAGTGCAATATTTCAACAGTGTGGAGGAGGTGGCTAAAGCATTTCCTGAACGCGTGTATGTCATGGAGGAAATAACATTCAACGTGAAGGTAGCTCTTGGAGAACCAAATATTTATCCTTACTAAAATAATTTAACTTTCAAGACTGTGTGTACACAGTAAGCGCACATCTGTGCCTTCCACGAGAGTTCCATCTTCCTAACAGGTTGGCGTCAGCGGCCACACTGCTCGTACTGAGGCTGACCCGTGTCCTCACAGTGTCCTGTGCTGCGTTATCTTGGGTTAAAATTGAAAACTGATATCTGAGTTCAAAAACATAGTTGTTAAGGCAGATAAAGATTTCGTGTATTTTTGTGTTTTGTTTTTGTTCTTGTCTTTTTTTAATTTGGACTTTATTCCCTCGTATGTAATAGTTGTCTGACCAGCTCTCTGGGAGTCTGGTTGGTCCACTTTTAGGCTCCAAAGGCATATGATGAAACTAATACCAAACATTTGTTTTAAAACAAAAGGAAAAACGAGGCTTCCAAGAGCATGCCCTGAGATCAACATCTATTGATTCCTTTCTTTGTGGATGATCTATTTCAGTATATACAGAGAAAATTGATGTATAGACTGTTGCCCAGAGAAAAGCTCAATAGAGTTTTTTCACTGGGCTTCATTCGTCCTGCACTTTTAAAGGGACAGTGCAGTTCATGTCTGCATGTTGAGCAAGTTCCTTTGACTTGACTTGCTTTTGAAGAAAGGCTGATTAACCAGAGAAGCAATGCCACCACCAGGGCCAATCTTATCACCAATCCATTGCGTTTTCTTCAGCAACACCCACCGTCACACTAAAACATTTTAGAAAATGTTGATAGTGGAAGAATTTTCTCATTTCAGCAGAAAGTCCAATTAAGTCACGTTTTCTGAATATTTCAAGATTTAAATGACAAAAGCTGGCCCCATGGCCTCATGGTCAAGGGAGCCGAATCCCACACGACCAACCATGAGTGGAATCCTGACCCTGGTGGCTTGATAAACATGCCAGCGTTTGTTCATGTATGCTCTAAATCCCAACAAGATAGAGAAACGGAGAAGGGATTGCACCCCAGCCACACCCAATAAGGGGGTAATTTCTCCCTCTCTCCTTCTCTGTGTCTCTCTTGTAACCGCACATGTTCTGTGGAAAAATTTTTTTCAAATTAAAACAAAAAAGAGAAGATTTAGAGAATAAGGTTCCTGTTTCTTAGAAATCCACTCCATGTGAAAAACAGATTGCAAGACACCTCAGCCCAAGGATGCAATTGTGTCTTTATGTGAGTCACTCCAGGCACACTCTTCAGGAAGGTAGGGACATGTCCAAGAGAGACTTCATGGTGGAGAGAGTTCTGCCCACTCCATTGGCTAAGCTAACTCATTCTTGCCTCTAGTTCTAAAACACAGCTGCTGTGATCTGCTTTCTTTAGTTGTATTATTAACTGAGTGAGATTTTACATTTTGTAAAATCTTTGCTAAATAAATTATGCTTAAATGGAAAAAATATTTGTGATTTTTAAGTGTTTCAGTAGTCCATTATAAGAGTTGTCAAGACAGCTTGGATTCACTGTGTTAAAAATTTGAGAAGACATTCATTTTTAAACTTAGCAAAACTCTGGGACCAGCAGATGGCATAATGGTTATGTCACTGGACTCCCACATGGCTGACCATAGCTCAAGTCCCATCTTGAAACTCACACCAGGTGCATGTGCGTGGATGCCCAAAATCCCAGCAGGAGAATGAAGGAGAAGGGATTGCAGCATGTCCATCTTCCCTGTAGGGTGGTTTCTCTCTTTCTTGCTCGCCGTCTCTCTGTGTCTCTCCAGTGACTACATATGCCCCATAGCAAACATTGCTCTTTAAAAAAAAAAAAAAAAAAAACTTACCAAAATTCTTTGGCCGGAAGTTAATTAAATTCTATTCTATTGGTGATTTGATATGATTTAAACCTCCTTCCAACTTATTTTTAGAATGCTCTAAATGAAAGTAAAAATTAGAAAAGAAAGTTAATACTTTTTAAATTCTTTCTAAAAACATTTCATTTCCTAATAAATGATGAGTAATAAAGTATACATTGTTTATGAGGTCTAAAGAGCTCCTCCATTATTAAAAGTTAATATTCTATCTTTTGTTACATATTATTTATGTACAATTTTTAAAAAATGTTTTGCTAGAGGGCTCATGCAATCACCAGAGACAGAGACAGAAACGGAAGGTAAGAAGCACCCTCCCAGTACAGATGCCACACCACATTTCCTTCTTTTCCTTTCTCTTGGCATTTTTGGACACATACACCCATATGTCTGCATGCTTTTTAAGCTACTGGGTCCACGACTCAAACCATGCACTCACCCATGTGGTTTTTAGATTTTGCCATAGGGCATATGCATTCGCCAGAGAGACAGAGGGAGACAAAGAGAGAGGAATTGAGAAACCATGCCCCATGGGGGATAGCCCTGTGGCAGTCTCTTCCCCTCCATTTTCCTCAGATTTTGGGCATGCACACCTATGTACCCAGCATGGCTGCCAGGTCCAAGATTCAAACCATAGTTGGTCATATGGGAGTCCAGTACCTTAACTACCATACCACTTTCTGGCCCCAGTAAATATTTTTAAAAGATGCCTGTAGTAGCCTTTTTTCCCCCTTTTTGGTGAATTCTGTATTAAATCAGTTTAAAAGGATAACGCCAAAACTCATACATTTGATAGAGTTTTCTCTTTTCTTTCCTACGGGATCCCATTGTTGAGTGTATTCACTGAAGTGTGTATAGTAGAGATGTCATTTAAGAGCTGAAAGGCACAATAGTGTATGAAGTGTGAACTTATGGCACCCACAGAGCTAATTGGACTTGGGTTGAGTTCTGTGCTATGCAAACATAAATAGTTAATATTTCTAGTTTATCGCTCATAGAGTTTCAAGATGCTATCTTCTCCAGATTGCACAAATCAAGGCATTATTCAGTTCCATTCAAGGAAGGATTGTTTTAGGACCCTCAGGAAATGTACATAAAGAAATACACAAAAGTTTGTAGTGCTACTGAATAAATACCCAAGTAAATAAATAAAGTAAGGAGAGTTAGGGAAAAGTTGTCTGGATATTACCAGGATCAAAAATAAATATTAGATGGGCCAGCAGGTGGCCCACTGGTTAAGCCACTGGATCCCATATGGCCAACTCCATGGTTCAAGTCCTGGACCAGGTGGCCAGAAAATCACACTGAGTGCATGATGCCCAAAGTCCTGAGAGCAGGGATTGTATGGCATGGCCTTCCCTCCAAGAAGTAATTTCTCTCCCTCTCTCTCTCTCTCTCTCTCTCTCTCTCTCTCTCTCTCTCCACACACCCTATGGCAAAAACTAAAATAAATAAAAATAAACACTGGAGGTCATGGGTCTTCTTTAATTAAAAGTAGATTCCACTAGAGTGTCTGGGTGAGAACTAGGAATGGGGAGTAAAGAAATGGGTTATTAGGTTTTTACGTCTCCTAGAGAGGGAGAACAGAATGAAAATAGTACTAATTTCTCCTACATGTAGTTATTATCCAGGAAGCAGTTTTTTAAGGTACATGAATTTCAAACCTTAGAAAATCTCACCCTCTAGTTCAAGTACAGTATAAACTAAACCAACAACATAAACCATTGAAGAAACCACTTACAGTTAAGAATTGAGAGTTGCTGGGACCAGCATTTGGCATAATGGCTAGGTCGCTGGACTCTCATGTAGTCAACCACAGTTCAAGTCCCAGATCCAGTGACTTAAACTCATGCCAGGTGCATATTCATACATGCCCAAGATCCCAAGAGGAGAATGGAGGAGAAGAGATTGCGGCATGGCCATCCCCCCTCAGGGGGTAATTTCTCGCTTTCTGTCTCTCTGTCTCTCTCTGTCATTCTGGCAAGCACACGTGCCCTATAGCAAAAACCTCTCCCCACACCCCCAAAAAAAGGATTAAGAGTCGACTGGCAGATAGTCAAAGGTACAATTGTGTTAACGTAACATTTACAATTACGTTAAATACCTACATGTATATAGTCATACATATATATGTATATATCTCCAAACTGAAATGAATCATAAAAATATGGAGTAGAGCAAAGTAATGATAGAATAGAAGCTCTAGTTCTAGTTCTGTTTTTTCCCAAAACTATGGCAAAATTTTAACCATATGAAATTTTTTTTGTCTCTTTTGGAGAAGTTTTTTTGTTTTGTTTTGTTTTGTTTTTCTGCTATAGGGTGCGTGCGCTCGCCAGACACAGACAGGGAGAGACAGAGAGACAGAAAGCGAGAAATCATACCCCAGGGGGGATGACCACACAGCAATCCCTTCTCCTCCATTCTCCTCTCGGGATGTTGGGCACACACGCACGCGCGCCCAGCGGGAGTTTAAGCCACCGGGTCCAAGACTCGAACCATGGTCGACTACATGGGAGTCCAGCGACATAGCCATTACGCTAACTGCTGGTCCCTAACCATATGAATTTAATGGGTAATATTAGTATTACCGTTTACACATTTGCTTAAAATGAGACATTCCTTTTACCTTGAAATTAAATACAAATTTGCCTCTAAAAGGTGCCTTGATGTATTTAAAATTACCTGCCTGATTGCCCCATCAGTGATTAACTATGTGAAATGAAGTTATTTGCGTTAAGTGTCTTTAACCAACAAATACATTTTGAGTGCTTACTAAGTGCGCAGCACTGTTGTAGGCACTGGGGGTAAGTCCCTGACTGCATAGAGATTACGGTGTAATAGAAGAAGCAGACAATAAACAAACACGTGTCAATACAACCTCCATACAGAGATACTGAGAAGACAGTTGGATATGCAGGTCTGGAACTTGGGGAGAGAACTAGGCTTGGGGATATGCGCATTTAGGGCTCATCACCTTCTGGAAAACATTTGAAGCATGGGTCTGGTTGAGTTTACCTACCCTGGTGGTTCTTAGTCAGGGGTGACTTTGTCCCTTAGGAGATGTTTGGCAGTGTCTATACACAGTTTGTATTGTTGTGATTGCAAGGCAAAGAACGGTACTGTCACCTTGAGGGTAGAAGCTCTAAACAAAGTGCCCGACC